TGTGTGAGTGTCTACTCTCCATGCCGAATGATTGAATGGCTGATTTTTTTACTTAGCGACGTCCTACTCCCGTGCTGCGGAGAGCCACTTGAAATCCTCGAAAATACGTACCGCCATGTATCCAAGCTCGACTACACCAACTACAAAGTCCACGTTCTAGACGACGGAGCATTGGACACTGTCAAACAACTCGCAGAGAGATACGGGTTCAACTACATCCGACGGGATAATCGTCCGTACCTGAAGAAGGCCGGTAATCTCCGGTACTCCTTCACTCGCACTGAGGGCGAGTTCTTCGCCATCTTCGACGCCGATTTCTGCCCGCGCCACGACTTCCTCCGAGAGCTGGTTCCCTTGATGCGCCATAATCCCAAGATCGCCATTGTACAGACGCCTCAGTTCTTCAGGCCATGTGCCGATCAAACCTGGGTCGAACAGGGTGCCAGCTCCACACAAGAGCTCTTCTATCGCGTCATCCAAGTTAACCGCAATCGTTGGGGTGCTCGTGAGTCTATCCTTTCGGGCCAACTATTCAATCCTTAATTCCATTACAGCCATCTGTGTCGGCAGCAACGCCCTCTATCGTAGGGCGGCCCTAGAGGAGGTCGGCGGCACTGCCGAAATAGGCCACTCTGAAGATGTACACACCGGTTTCTTTGCCATGACCCGCGGTTGGCGCGTCTATTATGTCCCTCTCGCGCTCGCCTGCGGCATATCCCCAGACATCCCCAAAGCTTATTTCTCCCAGTAGGTCAGTCGGTCTCCCGTGTCTCTCTTCGTATCTCTGACCCGACTTTTTTACAGATGCGCTGGTGCAGTGGCTCATCGACCCTCCTCACAAACCCCGAGTTCTGGCGCTCACCACTCACCATCGTTCAAAAGCTATGTTTCCTGACGGGCATGCTTTACTATGCCGCGGCCAGCATGACCATCTTCCTCAACGCCATACCCGTGATTCTTATGCTCCTCTTCAACCCCTCACACATCATATACTACAACTTTTTCTTCGTCATACCTTCTCTCCTTGACAGCGTGATCATTTTCCGCCTGTGGTCTCGTCAGGTTCGTGCAATCAGTCATCATTCGACGTATCCACTCAAATCAGCCGTCCGCAGCGCTACAATTTCAACGTTAACCATGTCTTCGTCATTCAACAGTACGTGATTTAGATATCCTAAAGCCACACATGAAACTTACTTTCGGTCAGATACGCATATCTCATGGCTATCAAGGACAGAATCCTCGGTACTACTGCTTCGTGGGTTCCGTCCGGGAATGCACAGGCGCAAGGCACCGCCAAGGCCAAAGGCGGAAACAATAAATACCGCAACAGCCGCATCTTCTGCGCCATCTGGGTTTACTCGACGTTCTTAGCCTCCATCGGACTGTCGACCTGGCGCATTGTTCAGGGATATCATTGGTACCATTATCTCCCGACTTTAATCCTCGACTGTTACACATTCTTCATCACATTCCACTTTATCTGGTTCTCATAAATGTTTATATATATACCACTCGTATATCTATATATCACTTCTCGCCAATTCACTGTCTATCTACCTCGCTTTGGCCCTCTTGCCCGAACCGCATGTAGCTCCATCCAGAAATTTCGACAAGGTTTGAGACGGAAGCTTCGCATCATCCTTGTAAAGATCGCTGTGTACCATGGGTATTTGATTGACAGACAACAACATTATTATATGCTTATGTTTCCTCCATTGCCCTCGAAACCATGGAAGTGAAACACAAAGCAATCATCTGTTGACCACAACTGAAATGATTGTCTCGGTCCGTATACCGACTTCATCCTCTTGAAGTACTTCGGGATTAATCATTAGAGAAGGAGGAATTGCTTGCCTGGGGCGGACGCATCGGCCGCTACGGCGGGGTTCCGACGCTTGGCGCTCGAAGGCGGGATTCGGGAAGGCGAGGCTCGGGACTTCGTCGTTACGGACGTCGTTGCAAGCTTCATGGACGAAGGTAGTTGGGTATCTTCTGTTGAGGACGGATCGAAGGAGAGTTGGTGTGCGTTGTCCGAAAGGATGAGGACGAGTAGCCCGAGCCCGTGAGCTGGAAAATTGCATTTGGACGATTGATACATCTGTATTTTGCTAATGCCTCAAGTTTCAGGTTGCGCCTCGATCTCTCTTCATCTGCATCATTCGCAGGGTGTGCAACATTAGCCCTTCAAGATACCTTTCGCAATATCCGCTTGCAGTCTCAAATCTACTCCCACTGGTGAGTTCAAAACTATGCCTGTTGAAGTCCTGTTAACTGTCTAACTCTTGTTATATGTCTCAGAAACTCTGCACGCTTCCTGATGTGCAACAAGTTGGCTCACATGAAGTCCAGTTTCTTCCCCCAAGTACGATGTTTTTGTAGAATACGCATTGGGTATGGGGGTACGGGTGTGAAGCACAACTCCTAGCATCTGCAAGCATTGGGTGTTGATCCCGAGTATCGCCGACAAGGGGCGGCAACTCTCTTTGTTGATGCACTCGTTGAGAAAGCACCGCCGGAAGATTATGTGCCCACAAGTTGACACGGAGCTCCATATAAGACCCTGCTCGGCCTCTGTCTTCATGTCCGGATAATTTTGGCCAGCTCAAAATATTTCAAAAATCAGGTTCGAGATAATGCCGAAGTAGGAAAGACGAGTCCTGCGAAATCTACACTTGTGTGGATGGCTTGAACGCATTCAGTATGCTGGTCATGGAGCGGGGCTTAAAATGACAGCAAAACCGACACAATTCATCTCCGTTCAATTGTACAACAAAACCGATCCACAAATTAGCTATAATCGTATCGGGGAGGACGGGCATGTAGGGTAATCTCTAATTCATTCTAATTCATTCCCACGGAATTCGATCTTTACTAATGTTCCAGTGACAATTAGTTCTCTCATTACGAGGTTATGGGAACACGTAGTTTAGCCATTTAACCGGAGCTGCTGACCTCTGGTAGGAGAGAAATATTTGACACCGGAACATTAGTAAAGATACACGATAAAAATCAACCCCGTCTTGTCAATGGGCCAACGGTCAAGCCACTTTCAACACTCCCTGGTGCGTCGGCAGCTCCGGTTAAATGGCTAAACTACGTGTTCCCATAACCTCGTTTAGTATGAGAGAAATATTTGTCACTGGAACATTAGTAAAGATCTAATTTGGAACAACGTCTTGTCAATGGGCCCACGTCCTCAGGGGCGTTCAAGATAAAAAGGCGAATTTCTTGTGTGAACGTCAGTCAAGTCGTTCTTGCTGAAATGTCCTCCGCAGTAGCTACCCGCCCCGTTAACCCTCCTGACGCCCAACCCGTCCTCACCGAGAAACAACTGTGGCGAGGCCTCGAATATCGAGCGCGCAACCCCGCTGTGCGTCTCCCAGAATTCCTAAGGTCATCTATTTACTTACCTTTGGGCTGTAGCTGTTCCTACCGAATGTGCCTGCGAGCAAGATGATCACCGACGACGGCAACAAGGTGTGTCGGGTCATTCAAATGCGGCCTTGATGTGATTCACGCATAATTTTCAGATCGTGCAAGAGCTCACAGTGGAAAACGAGGATCGGACGGAGACTGAGGTCTTGACGGAGACCGTTCAGGCGTACCCTTCGACTATCGTACGTCCTGCGGTCCATGGTCACCGCTTGCGTCGTTGATCTTGCGGGGCGGCAGATGTACCACGAAGTGAGCAACGGGCTGCGCATTGTGACTGTAATGTCCCGCGGAGCTGCCGGTGAGCTGCTGTTGACGTTCTCTTCTGCCAACCGCGGTGCGTCCCGTGGCATTTTACGGTTTGAATTGCATTAGGTCCTGACCTTTCTATATCTTTGGTCGCAGAGCTTCCTGCAAGCAAGCCTAAGCCGACCGCGGAAGAAGAGAATGCCAGGGTTGGAAAAGTATTGGAGAAGACGATTTCGATGTTTAGGGAGATGGCATCCGAGGGAAAGTTGTACTAATCAGCAATTTGACATTTTGATTGTGGCGTTTCACGTGTTGTTTGGCGTTTTCGCGTTGTTCACCAAAATTGAAAGTGTTCCCCTATGGGTTGGGAAAGACCTACCTGCCTGAATTGGGGCATGGGTGGGCGGATGGTAGTAGATGTCTGGAGGGAGGTCTAAAACCGCCCTGAACGTCGGTCGTTCTAACGTTATCTGCTAATTATAGTTCGGCGTTGTCAAAATTTCATCAAAAATTGTTCGCGTTGCGCGTTGGGGCGTTTTCACGCGTTTTCACGCGTTGTTTGGCGTTGTACAACGCCACAATGGGAATGTCAAAAGCCCTCGTGGCGCTGGCCAATTTGACACGCCGGCACATTTCGTGCATTTGTACCAGCGAATTTCCCAACCTCAGCCATCTCATTATTTCTCCCCCTCCATCAACGCCCCTGTTGATAGGACTTCGAGGCCGTCCCACGTTTTCTGAGTCGCACCGGTGCGCACCGCATCGACTTGGATATCCGAGGCGCATAGATGGCACCGCCTATGGATGGCCTCGCGATCCGGTGTGTATCCCAGTTTAAGGATATAATACTCAGTAATCGGTGGATTCAGGCTCGAGCTCGAGTCCTACGCTTGGAGCACTGCAAATGCGAATGACATCGATGATCAGCGTCGCCTCCAATCGAGTCCCCTAACGTAGCATGGTAAGCCAAATATGCATCTGAATGTGAACACTTGTAGCTCGCAGAACAAGGTTCGACTCCCCGCGTCCGATTAATTGTGGTCTTTGGCTATTCCTTTTTAATCTCGAGCCAGGAGGCTCAGACAGCGATGAATTCTTCGATTCCGGGATACAGCTCAACATCCCCGCGTCCAATTTACACATCCCGAACCCCGCCAGGCTCTCCTCCAGTCTCATCTACGGAACGACCTCGACGAATAATCGAACTAGGTGTAGGTGCTTCCTTGACCGGCGTCCGATACATGTAATCAAGATTTGTCTGTGTGTCTCTTCAATTCTCTTGACGCGTTTCATGCAGGATTCAATAGGCTAATTCATCGGGCGTGGTGTACGGAATACACGAGCGACATCTGGAGATGATTTTGAACACTCGTAGCTCGCAGACCGGGGTTCAACTCCCCGCGCCCGAATATATCTTCAGGTATTTCTTTTTATTCCCGAACGAGCAGGCTCAGACAGCGAGGACTTCTTCGATTATAGATCTGGGGATAGAGCTCGCAGTTCAATATTAACGCGTCCAATGCATAAATCACAAAACCCGCCCTCTTCCATTAACGGAACGACCTCAACGAATAATCGGCCTTGGTGTATGCGCTTCCTAGCCTTGAATTTCGTTGATTCGGGGATACAGTCTCGACTCTCCCCGTCCGATAATCAAGATCCGTCTGTCTTTTCAATTTCCTTGATGCACGGTCAACCCAGGATTTGATAGGCTAATCAGGCGTGGTGTACGGAATACCACGATCTTTTCCTTATAGATTCAAACTCGCACAAGCTATCTACACACCTCATGCCGGTACTTGGATATTATGGGTCAATCCAAGGGTTCCAGTACCCTTAACCCTTCACACCCACCCCACTTCGCTCGCGGACCCCGCCCACGACGCGTTTATTTGCCCCTGCGTGGCACCGCCATCTGTCATCGCCGCGGCGATCAATGTCCTTTGACTCCCACTACCATCCGCATTGACTTCGACTTCATCGGGAGCAGGAGCTCGGGGTGTACCGATGGGCGAAGTAAAAGGCGGGACGGGAAGCGGAAGCGGCGGCGCCCCGCCCGGACGTATTGGGCGCGTGTACGCGCTGGGGAGTTTTGCGGGGTTGTGGGCGGGGATGATGTTGGTGCGCGCTTCTTGTTCTTTTCCTTCACCTCGATCCCCCATCCTCCTTCACTCCTTATTGATCGAACGCTAACTCCCTTCCCCCTCCCACAGATGCCTTCTTAATCCCATTTCGTACGTTTCTTTCCCTTTTCACTGATCTAGCTGACGGACCTCCTGCCCCGGTCTTCTCCCGACCCACCCCCAATCGCTCGCGCTCCTCGACGATCACGGCTTCCAGCTCGGGAACAGAAACGCCACCACTGTCATCCGCTGAATCAATGTCCGAAGGCTCGCAATCCAGCATCGACATGTCTCAAGTGAATATCATGCTGTCGAACGCCACCCATCCGATGTCGACTACAACCCGAGACCGAATGCGTGCTCGCGTTCGCGGACAGGGTCACCGGCGCCGCGTGCTTCGCGGTCGTCGGTCTACGGGACGATCCAGGAGGAGTATTCGAGCCCCGCGCCGTCGTCTATCGGATCCAAGAAGAGTAGCTCTCCCACCGCTTGCCAGGGCGTATACATTGTCGACGGCGAAGCTGGTTCTGTCGATCTGAACGCGGACGCTCCTGGGTCGGACGACGAGCGCTGTATCGTTGCGCTCTGCAGGTATTACGCTCTCCGGCATGACGCAGAGGACCTAGTTACGGAGAGCAGGCGGATGTGGTCTGACACGCCTTTCTCGTTCTATGCCCTGCAAGGTACGTCTCGTTTCCTTGACCTTCTTCCTTCACTGACCATTTTCGATAGCTCTCTCCGCCAAAGGACCCTGAAGGGATGCAGGTGCTCCTCCAGCACTCCGTCCAGAGTTACCGTCCACTCGAGCTTGGTCCGCGCAGGATGCGCTAACCAACAGCGCCCTGCAGGCCGTCGAGATCAAGTCTAACATCAACGTCCACCACATCGCCGGCGGTCCTGTCGAGAGCGCCGGCCTCCTCCTCATCGGCCCGGTCGTGTCATCGAGAGCGAGTGGAGGAGGACATACCTGCTGCCCACGTGGGTGGAGGCGGCGGCGCGCGAGCGGCAGGTGTCATTCCTTATCGGATGGATATGCGAATGCGTACGAGAAAGCAGCAGGATGACAAGGGAGGGGACTACCCAGCGTGGGAGCGACGACGCGGACAGGTACGTTAATCTCATTTGCTTTGTTTTTATTTTTATTTTCATTCTCGCTTTGCGTTTCCTCTCGTGGCCCCGGCGTCCTTCCCTTTCGCCGCGTTTTTATCTTCCTTCTATTTCTCTCCGTGTTTTATTTGGCGCCCTGGGCGTCTGTTCTTTTTTTATTTTTTTTTGGAACTCCCCCACCGACAACCTATCTTTTTTGCGTTCTCGAAAGTGGGTTAGGGCGGGGCTTTGCACTTCCGGGAGGAATCCTTTACCTCTTGAATGCTCCACCCCGGGGCGGTTTCGCGATTGGTGATGTTGCGCATTTTTTGGAAGCGACGGGAGGAGGGTGGAGACATCTGCGCTCGTTCTCGAAAGTGGATGCGGCTAGAGTTTAGCGCTTTCGGGGAGCAGTGTTTGGGGCTGGGACGCTACCACCCGAGGTGGCTTTGCGCTTCGTGGCTCCTTTGATTTTTCGAGTCGGCGGGGAGGCGGTTGCGCCACTTTTGCTTTTTCTCAGTGGTGGATTGGAGCTGGGCTTAGCGCGTCGCGGAGGAGCATCGCTGGTGCGTGGGGCGCTCCCTCCCTATTCGTTTTTGTCTCTCCTTCTCTTCCTTCATTTACGTTCCCTCCCTCTTTCCTCCGTCCGCTCACTCCACCTTATATCTCGATACTGACTCCTTTTCTCTTCACAGAACCTTCGCCCTTCCCTACCCCCTCACGCCCCGCGCACGCCGTGCACGCGCGCCTGCACTCCTGGTTCCTCGATGCGCCGGCGGCGCCGTTCGGCGTGCACCGCATGGCGCTCGCGGGGAAGGAGGTGGGGATATGATTTGGGCTGAGTGCTGCTGCGGAGGGTTTGAGGTTAGTCGCACTGCCCTCTCTCATTCTTCTTTACGTTTTTGGAAATTACTACGTACCGTCTTTACTGCGGTCCTTTCTTTCACTCGGATATTTTCGTCCTCCTCGTTCCTCTTCACCTCTAACATCCTTATACCATCCACCTCCCGCTCCTCATACACGCCCTGTTCCCCTCCCCATCGTTGTCTTCCTCTCTCACACCCTCGATCACCACAATACTTTCCTTCATTGTCCTTCCCCCCACCCTTCACTATCTTCCAATCGCCTACGTTGCTTTTTCCAGAGTGTACTGCCACCAGTCTGCCCAAAGACCAGAGCCCAAGATAAATAAATAAAAGTAACATGTTGACCGCCATAGAGTGCAGATTAATAATATATCCCAAGATAACTTTGAGAGGTGAAAACAGGAGGAAAATTTAGTCTGCTCCCAAAAAACCGTACCCACAGTTTATCATGCATCAACGGTTCGGGTAGTGCGAGTCTCTTGTAAACAGACGCTATAACAATTCCAACTCGTACCTCGTTTGTTATAGGGCAGCGTGGAAGTTTCTAACATCTGAATGAGATGGCGACCATGATCGCATCCGAAGAGCAGCGGAGAAAGAGCTAAGGGCGTGGAGAAACTACATAGGATTTGTACCGTTTCGATGAGTTCTGAAAAGTAAAGTAATGATATTCGTTGCGCCAGAGCAAGAATGCCTGAATTAAATCGCACTTGCTCCGTGATATCAGAGTTGCGAATTCTCCCTCCCGATCATTGTCACCTCTTTACTTGCAAACTCATGATCAAACAACCGACCTCCCGATTTCTGCTGCGGCTGCACTCCACCCATCTCGATAGAGAGAGTAGTGTCCCCCACTCCTGCCGACCCAAACGCGAGGCTACGCGAGGATTTCGCGTAGCTATCGATGGACGTCCCAGTGATAACACGAATCCCTAGAAGGGTTGGGGTAATACCCTGCATTCTAAGAGTGAGCTCGACGTAAACCTGCCAGAAAGAGGACAACATACATAGAAATGAACAGTACATGTTTCCACGAGACTGAAGGCGGGATTCTCCAACAAATTGAGAACGAGATAGAGCAGTTGAATAACAAAGTTCAGAAGCCCAGATTCAACCATCAACGTTATGATGCGGTGGTAGGGTTCATCTTCATTTTTTTCCCACTCATCACGGAAGAGCTTGAGTTGCCGAGAGTGGACCCAAATCTTACCCGCGATTAGTCCGGTGACGAGTGAGTTGACAGCCATGGAGAGGCTGATGCCTGCTGTTGTAAGTGGAATCTCGATATGGTAGATAGGTTCAGCCGCCCCTCCCGAAACACTTCCGGCGAACCCCGCAGCGACCAATTGTCCCGCTGGAAGGGAGTCATGACCACAAAGAGGAAAGTATGCTATTCGATCCCTCACCTAGAGAAGCGGAGGCTAAGAACACCAGAGGAGAAACAACATAGTAATTCTGACTCCAGATAATCCAACAACGATAGATCTGGATATAATAATCAGGGCCAGGATAATCAACACATAGAAATACCCACAAGAATCATCTGTGAAAGGAAGTCTACGACCCCGAGAAGAACCATTGAAGCGACAGCCAATCGCCAAGCAGCGATAAGAGTGGGATCGGCGTTAGGCACCTGGATGCATGTTCCATGAGTTGATGCATGAGCACAAGAGACGCCAGTACCTGGAGAAGATACCCTTGCCCAAAGTCCAGAGCACATGTCAGAGTCGCGATGCAAAACAACGCCGTTAGCGCATAGGTCAATCGACGGGTTTGATGCTTGTGGTTAGTCCTAGCCTTGCGTTCTAGGGTGATGAACCAGCAAAACGACACGGCGTAGGCAGCTACAGAAAGGTTAATGATAACTCGTCGTTGAATCGAAAGAAACAACTAACACCAGACCATTCCTCCAAAAATGGCACCGAGAAAATCTGAGCCGCCGTTTTCAAAGACGAGCAACGAGGAAGACATCCTTGCTAAACATGTGGCTGTCGCGTCGGACTTTAAGGACTCCATATCAGTACTATGGCCGGTGAGATCGACATCTCGGTCATCTGATTGTTGTCATCGTGGTTTTTAAACATATAAATGATAGGACCGTGAAACTTCGATTTGGTCTTCAGAATCAGGGCAATCCGCCATGGGCTTGGATGCAGATCGATGAACAGAAGCCCTTGTATTGGAGTTTCTAGGCAGCCAGATACGGGGAAACTGACCATTATGTGCAGGTATATGTGCAGATAAAGACCCTTCGGGGTCATTCTCAGGGTCAGTACCATGTTAGTCTCTCTTAGACAGACGCTACAACATTTATGTGCTCGTACCTCGCATGTA